CCTTTGTTTGTGCTATTATCTCTGCTAGATAAGCTTCTCCCAGCAGCACAGTGGCTCACACCTGTAATCCTAGCACTTTGCAAGGCCAAGGTGGAGGATTGACTGAGTCCAGGAGTTTGAGGTTGCAGTGACTTATGATGACACCACTGCACTCTAATCCAGGAAACAGAGCAAGACACTGTCTTTAAAAAAAAAAAAAAGAAGCCTCTCCCATAATCCACCTTTGGTGTGATTACCCTCCTCTTCCATGTTTACAATGAATCTCATTTGTGTTCAAATTGTACCTAATCACTACCCCGTCACAGCACTGATAAGTCTACTCTCCGTTGTGCTATTGTAATTCATCTATCTCATATGAACTCCCTCAGGGGCAATCTTTTCCAGTCCCTGTCAAACACCCTGAACTAATTCCTACCTCAGGGCCTTTGCACTTACTATTCTACCTGTCTGGAATACTCCCTCTCCCTCCACCAGCCCCACTAGATAATAGCAATGGGTCACCCCTTCACTTCGTTTAGGTCTCTGCTTAAGTAACTTGATCCCCATCTAGAATAGCATCCCATCACTCTTTCCCTTTACTCCGTTTTATTTTTATTTATATTACTTATTATACCAGGCATACACAGTTATCTCCAATAAACATTTCGTGTAAGTACAGACACTGTCTTGTTCACCCTTTATCCTTAGAGCCTGGAATAATACCTACCATATGTGTGTCTAGATAAGCATTTGTTGATTAGCATTTCTTGAACGAACAACGAAATGAATTTGAACTAACGTCCATCTAAATTTATTGTGACTGAGAAAGAAAGGTCAGGAAAGCATTTTCTGCTTGAGCACAAAGGAATTTGGGGGCTTAGTACCTGTCCCCCGCCCTCAGGGAAAAGCAGCGTGTCTTCCAGCACCACTTGGAACCCGCTCAGCACCTCTTTCTTGCCGTTGCTCCCTGCAGTCTGCAGCTCCGCGGGACTACAGGAGACCACGGTGGTGGTGAACTGGACAGAAAGGGACGAGAGAATAAGCCCCGACGCCGGCCCTCTCCCCACCGGGACCGAATCCTACCTCGGCACTCCCTCCCCTCGCGGCGCCCTCTTCCCTAAACCGCCCCATCGGCCGGGCAGCATCAGATCCCCCGCCCATCAGGCCGCACCTCCCGAGCATAGCTGTCCCGCTGACACCGGAACGCCATCTCTGCTGGCTGCAAGGACGCGCTCACGCTGAAAAGCCGGGGGGGCCGACGGAGACCGCCGTAGGACAAACTTCATTAAGGGCCGCGTCTCTGCGCAGAAGCAAGAGGGTAAAGTATGGGGTGGGGTTTGGACAAATTTACTGAAAACGCGAATCGCAGACGTTCTGGGTTGTTTAGCGACTGTTTTAAGACTTTGAAAAGGACCAGGGACGGGGGGCAGGGGGGTCATTTGCTACCCCTTTGGGCCCCAGGGGTGTCTGTATTAACAATTCCGCCCACGGAATCGCAGCTGCATACAGGTGGGGATGGGACCGGCTTGCGTACAGAGAGGCGCTGCCCAATAGTCATATAATGCAAAGTACATATGTTAATAATGTATTTTATTCAAATCAACATATCCAGAATTTTATTTCACCATGTTGGATATTTAAACATGAGTGAGATATTTTACTTTTTTTTCCGTACAAATTTTCGAAACCCGGTGTGTATTTTACGCTTAGCCCATCTCGGTTTGGACTAACCACATTTCAAATACTGTACTTAGTAACCACGTGGGGCTGGTTCTACTGAATTGGACAGCGCAGATAAAGAGGTTAACAGAAGATAATAAGCTGCAATCAATGTCTTAAAACGTTAAACAGATTAAAAGTTAAAATTAACTCTGCTTTTTTAGATCAACTAATAAAAAGTTTGAAGACTCCAGATATTTCAGAATTTAGAATTTTCCAGATTTTAGGCAGGTAATGCAGAGCATTCCCCATGTGTTATGTAATACCCTCCGATGGAACTCTGGAGCCACATCATGTAGTAGAACTCATTAATATTTATGCTAAAAATAATGCCCTAAGTGGAATAAACAAAGACTATAAATAGCCTCACATTTTGGGTCAAGTTTTGCTTCCAAATGAATTTTGGTGTCAAATTAAAAAAAAAAATCTTTTTGGAGTTCAGAACTTCTTGGTTTTCAGAATTGTGAATGAGAAGACATGCTATACAAGCTCACCTGTTTTGTGACCTGTTTTGTCACCTACAAAAAAACAGCCTACTTATTTTATAAGGTTGACATGAAATCCAAAAAATTTTAATGAGATCATATATAAATACTTAGTAAGTTGTAAAGCACGATACTAATATAATTTTGTATTATCAGTTTTTAAAAAGTTTTAGGATTAATGTCAATAGCAAAATGGTAAAAGACATGGACAGAGCACATTAACAGAAATAGGAATCACTAATAAAAATAATGTTCAGCCGGGCGCGGTGGCTCACGCCTGTAATC